ACGGGCTCACGATAGCGACAGATAAGATAGGTGAGTAAGCCTATTCATCTGGCCTCGTGCACGAGAGACCAATCCCAGCACAGAGACCTCTCCAAGAGCTGAGAGCGAAACACCTCCGGTGAATTCCTCTGTATCAACCGTGCAGCATAATACTGGAGTTTTTCCAATCCGGTGTTCGAGGGCTCAATTTTCTCTTGTGTTCAAGAAACACAAGGTCATTGTGTCTCTAGGGTAAAGAATCCCCGTGACGAGAAAAGCAATGGCCAATACAACACAAGATGAGAAGAGCCTTCACAGGAGAGAAACTGGGTCAGAACTTCAAGCAGCGAGCCATGTAGCACGCAGACACACATATAATCACGGCTCCCGTGAGAAAAGCCTGTCGAACCCCACTCATTGTTGTATTCTAGAGCACAACAGTGGGCGATTACCATTGGAAGGAACATTCACATGCCACATATTGTCAATTATTTCACTGTGGCACGCAGTCCGTGACGCCCGACCTGCGCTGACTTATTGACTTTGAACCCCGCTTGCCAACTTCATTTCTGCGACTCTCAAGACTCTTGGCCTCGAGCGTACAGAATCTCTCCCTGACTCTCTCGCTAATATCGAGACCGAAGGCGTTGCTGGTGTCTTGCAGTCGGGCCATGCCAGCTATCAGCCGAGTGATTTTAGTATCCTGGTCAGCTTTCATAACCTACACACGATGGAAAGGTAAAAAACAAGTTGCTATTGCGTGACCACATTCGAAAAAATAGATGGATGTGGCACGCTTGGAAGTGCTCACCTCTAGTGTTCTGAGCTCGGCCACGATGCGATCGTATAGCGACTTTTCAACCTTGTTCTCGCCGAGGTCCGTATGTCCCTCGGCCATGAGTAATTTTGCTAAGAATTGTACCCTACCCTTCAGAAGTTCATTCTCCCGAGCCAACTCGTACGCGCTTCGAATCCCGTCTGTTGAAGTGTCTTCCTCCCTACTCTCATCCTGTTGCATGAGCTCAGTGATCCTACAATTGAGTGATTGCTTCAGGCGAGAATTTTGATTCTGCAAATTGAGTATCTTTTCCGACTTTGCTTTTAGACGGAGTTGCAAGCAAGTGCAAAGGTCTTCACTCTCCTTATTCAAGGCGAAAGCAGACTGATATGCACACTTCAAACATGAAGCCGTTTTCTGCAGTTCCCTGAGCCGTGAGTCGTTCCGATTATCCCTCTTGGACTGGTCCCATTGGATGTCTTGAACTTCTCTTTCGGCTTTGAATTTCTCAGCGCGATATCTAGCAACCCGTTGCTCAGCCTCACTCAACTTCCTTCTAGCGCCTTCGAGCTCCCCTTGTAACGCTTGTAGTTGTGTTGCTCGCGATGCACATTGTTGCCGTGCTGCTTCATCTTGCGCACTCATGCGGCGAGCCGTGCTGTCAAGCTCGCTGCACTTCTCTCCGAGCTTATCTATCTCTTGGGCCATATAGTTTTCACGTCTTCGTGCATCTTGAAGTTCTTGTTGGAGCACACTGATCGAGATCCCCTGATTTCAAGAAACAACTATCTTCGGAAGCGGGTAAGGT